TGGGTACGTGCCCAGAAGTCGAATTTCCACATTGAACTAACGCAATTCGTCCGCATACTGACACATACATTGCGCGAGGAGCTCGGGTGGACGATGTAAAATTGGTGGCTTGCGTTGATTGTGTAACGTTTTAAAAGACGAACCGATGGCGACGTGGAACAGGAAAATAATTCTAAAACTCCAAAACAGTCGTTTAACTTATTGATCAAATGTGGGGTGGGAACTTGCTTAGCGTGAAGTACAAGTTCGCACCTTGCACTAACAATTGTAAAAGGGGTAAATATGCAATAATTGCATACTAAAACTAAGTAAAAACTTTTTGGCAAAATGATACCATCCATTTGGTATGATGAAGTATATAATGTATTTTAGTATTACAATCTGTTTATTTCTTCTATTTTTGGATGATCTCCGAAACAATTGAGCTGATTTAAAAAAAGTAATGAAAAACCATACGTGTGTAACGTACACAACCTTTGATTTACATAAGTAAGAGTTCCTCATCGACCCGGAGGAAGGTGACTTATGTACATCGGACCCATCGTCGGGGGTGTCGCCGGATAACACTACACCCACAGCTAGTGTAACAACAAACACAATAGTTCCCCCTCATCTCCGAGTACGGCGAGACCAACACAACGCGTACACAAAGTACACCCGCGTTCCAGGGCGGTTCTCACCGCCTCCAGCCACCGATTAGCTAAAAACACAGTCGACGGCCATCGGGATCCCGGTCCGAACCGCAACCTCGATAGCCCTTAGACGACATACCATAGTTAAACGCACGCATGAGCACATGCGCGGCCCTACCCACAGCGGAGGGCCAAACCTGTGGGTTCTGGCTAGCCCACCGGTTCTGCGGCAGTCATCTGACGACTATTAAAGCTTCATAGCTTTAATAGTCTCGGGACTCAAAGCAAAAACATCAGTTAATACAAGATAAGTAAGAGTAAGTTATAGTCCAATTGTAGATCGTGAGAATATTATGAGTAGTTGGTTTTTTATTGACATGTTGAAGAAATTTATATGAAATAGTTTATGTAATTTCAAGACTATATGATAACGCAATCCCTAGGAGATATAGATAGGTATAAGTGTAGTCTTCATAACAGATTTTTACTTTTTTAGGAATACACTTTCTTAAGGTTAGCTAAGTTTTTTAATTTATGATAGCCATAAACATGAATAACCCGTAATTATCTTTTCACTACATTTTGAATATTTCCATTGTTTTAAATCTATTATTTATATAGCGTCAACACCTAATAGTTACCAATAAATGTTGCAATATCATTTCACAATCAATACATCCAGCTAGTTTTCAGACTGTTGCTAAATTTTCTCTATTGAAACATGGCAACAGGAACAATTATAGTGATATCGCAGAGGTAAGCAACAAAGGAGATAAGACAAAATTGTGTCAGTCGCTATCAACGAAGGGAACTGATTAATTTCGTTGTAACGATATGAATATTTAGGGCCGTTGCGGCATCGATTTTGGTTTTGCAACTTGGTTGACAAATTGTAATGACTACAACGAACCGAGATGTAGATATGAGTGTTAGTTTGATTATAGATAAATAAATAAATAGATAAAAAATAAATAAATATACCATGTTTATATCATTGGTGTATGACACATAGAGACAAAGAGCTCATTCGCGCTGAAACAAGTAGTTTAACGGATCAAAATAGCATGGTGAGTGAAAAAAAATTACGCTCGCCAAGCACACCATCTATAAACGGAAACGCATCTGTATATCTTCTGAGTGAACTTAACCTGCAAGGTTATTTATGTCCTTAACGGATCGTTGGGATCCCAGACAAGATTCATTAAAGTCAAATTTACTGCTTTAGTGAATCAAAATTTCTGAAATGTATTAAAATAAGTATAAATAAGGATTTAAATATATAACACCACAAACCTGATCTCCCGCCTAATTTGGACGTGGCAAATAAACTTCTAAAATTATTTTACCATCAAAAAATGGTCATCATACATTGCTTCGCGATTAAATATGGTGCGGTCTTATTAAAATATGTAGAAAATGGTGCGGTCTATTATAAAAGTGCTTGATTTACATGCTGAAACAAAAATAATATGTGTTGATGTTTTCTGTGGAAAACTCATTCAAACTCAAACTTACATAAATCCTTAAAATACTATTAAATAATAAGCAATTTATATGATTTGATGCTCATATAAGTGGAGAGGCAAAGCCGGGTACTAGTAAAGTACCAGTAGTAGTTATATCCATTTCACATTTTGCAGAATCTTTTTTGAGTATTATCTTAATCTACGAAGCCTGAACGCTGTGAAACGAAAGAAGCAGCCATGAACGATATCTAGTTATGTTTTTCCATCCTCGTATAAATTGACGTAAGTCCACGTCAATTTATTTGAAATTTACACCATTTGGACTTATAGTGTTGTCATTTATATGGGTCTATTATATTAACCGTAGGCCACGCTCCATTAAAGACTTTGTGCATTATAAATCGCTTTAGGTACGATACGTCTTTGTTGCACGCGGATGCTAGATCGAGCGAGTCTAAGTTTCATGCATTTGCGTGAATGCACGGATACGACCAGATGACCTGTGTTTACGCAAACAACCGTATTGACTTTCCTGCTTAGCGAAGCCGCTTATATTGTTACCCTGGGTCGCACTTGGTGCTTTATTTATCCCCTTAATTTATTTAGTTCCAGCTGCTGCAGACGTAAGTAAACTGGAACGTGCCCAAACTGTGAAAGCTAATAAGGTATACTGGCAACTCTGAGTTGGAGTTATTAGAAATGTTGTATGAACAAAAAGGATTGAACATTAGGGTTGAAACAATATTTTGTCGGTATTACTCGATTAAATTTTTTTTATGTGTGAGAAGGTGGCAAACGAGCTGGCGATTAACCTGATGTTAAGTGATAACCGTTGCCGGTTGACACGTGCATCTGTAGAGTTGTAGATGCGTTGATACCTTTTAATAAAGTGGGCCCCGGCTACCTCACTCATCTGATCCAATCTTTTGTAAAGTTGTAGTACTTACCCGAACGGATCTGACCATTCGTGCAACAGAGAACAGAGTTGTTTTTTCTTTGTAAAATAAAACTCTCCAAGAAAATTTAAAATTATTTAAAGCGTAAAAGATTTCCAAAAACCTCGATTACAAAACTTGTGATCTGGCGACCTAATTGATAAAATCTTTTAAAAGATTTTCAGTGAATTACAAAAACAACTTCAGTTATAACGTTGACGTTCATTTCAAGAATGTATAGGGGCAGTGAGTAGTAATAACGAAGGGAAGAGCATGTTAATTGCTATTCTGTAAAACAATTAACATTTCATTCCATCTGCGCAATCGCACTCTATGTGCGACGTCTAAAATAATATCCAATAAAGGTAATCCCAAGTATGGCCCTGCACAGAACGGCGCTGGCACCTGGGGACCGGTCTCACTCGTTCCGCGGGCCCACGCAACGCCTGCCTCTGGCCTCTACCACGACACTTGACACCTCAACACGGAGCAACTATCGCTATGTGGCGAAGCTTTCGTTTAAAGCACCCACCACCGAACGCTTTCCAGGCGAACACAAGTTACACTTCGCGACTAGAGCTAAAACGGACACGATAACAAAAAATAAAATCTCACGGTATAATTGCTTTTTTCTTCCGAAGCGCCGTTCGAAGCCGGCTCGTTACCGAACTATTTACATCCCAAGGCAGTATTTTTCCACGAAAAACCCTGACTGCGTTACAATATATCTTAGCTTTTATTCGACGGAAACTTTAATAGCTTCATTCTAATGAATATTGCGCTCACTTTATATGCGAAAGTGCATTACGTACAATCTTGTATGCAAATTTTATGCTCGTGGTAATTCTGGTGCCTTTAATGCTCGGTACAGATCGGGCCACGCATCTGTACAGAATGAAGGGTATAATAGCGTTTGTAAGGACAGTTATCGCGTTCAACTGGACTCATTTAACCTTCAAAGTAAAGTAAAGTTCAAAGCTTTCGTTCATGTCAATGGAGCAAATAGTACACTTATTCCAATTATGTAAAGTGTTTGTTTTCTTGTTCTTCGTTTATAAACGTAAACAAAATTCATGCTTCCACATTCATGCGAAAGCAGCTTTCTGGGTGGCTTAAACCGCTGAACCGATTAAGATGAAATAAGAGAAAATTTTTTATGGTAGAGCCTCGAAAGGAGGAATATAGCTGTTACTCCTGAAATCGTCCTTTTAGGTGTGAAAAGGAAGTATGGAGTTCGTATGGAGAATATTTGTATAAGCTAAACACACGCGGTTGAAATCTCGGACAAAGTAATCACTATCATTATCCCTATTTATGGTTGGTAGATTAAAATTAAAGCTTTAAAATTATGCAACGGATCTTGATATGTTTTTTTTACTAGATAGAGTGATTCAAAAGGAAGATTTATATGTATAATACATTATACCCGTACGAAGCCGGGGCGGGTCGCTAGTTCTAATATAAAAGGCAAAACATGTGTATTTGTTTGTATGTTGAATAATTTATGCAAATGATGAATCGGTTTTTGTTCCTTGTATTCAAGTCTGGCAAGTTGCATTAACAATTGCAATTTATTCAAATAAATATGGATTAAAAATAACACAGTACTTGTCCAGTAATCGGAATTCAAACTTCATCAAATTTATAATTGCAATGCAAAATTGTTATCTGACAATGTAATATGAAATGTTACAAGTACGATACTAAGGGAGTATTTCCTTTCTTTACATTGTTTGTTATTAGAATAATATTATTATGAAAGTTAAAAATATTAGTGATTTATGTTTGGGGACTAACCAATTTTCTAAATTGTTAAAACTTCCTTCAAATTATAAGCCCTACTAAGAACATGTTTTTGTTGAATATATAAGTTAATTTCGTATTCTTGTCCTTTCCTGAATATTGTTATATACACCATGTTCAATATGAATTAGAAACTTACACTAATACGAACATTACTCCGCCTAAGGCAGGAACAACCGGACCTGGAATAGTATCAAGGTATTTCTGGTCGACTAGAATTTATTGGATGTAAGCCTCTTCCTGTCTGATAGCTACTGCTATCTACGGTGATTACATTGCCAACCTTTTCCTCGCGCCATGCATTTGCAAGTCGAACGTTGAGGCCGATAGGAAATGACGCCTTCCGTCTCCAAGAGCGACTTCCGGTCGGAAGTGCGCAGCTTCCTGAGACGCCTCGCCACGCGAGGTTACCGCTGCGTTCCGGCTTTAATAATTCGGCCTGCCTCACTTCCGCGCTCGCCTCATTAAGCCGACCACACAACATGTTCAGGGCAATTTTTTTAAACCTACAGCACCGGTAGGCTCTAGAATATCTTCGTTATATGTCGACTTGATGATCCTGATCTCCAGCACATTACGACAAATTTTCCTCTTCGCTTGATTTTTCATAATATAAGTGCAACTAATTGATAACTCGATGGTGCCGTTGCTAAGCTATTGGCTTCGGTGTCGAGGGTCTTGGGTTCCGCACTTGGGACCCGCACAACGGTCACGATCAACTTTGATTATATTTTGAACACTGACTTTCTTAGAACCGAGTAATGAAGCAAAACGAAAGGAAACCTTAATATTTAACACTAGAATATATGAAACCCACCAAAATGTAACGTGCCTGCGGATTAGTGGCCATTCTAAAATAAATCGGAAGGAAATTTGTTTTATACATTGAATAAAACAAACCAAGTTTCGAAACTTTTAAGAATCGCTATTTCAATTAGAGATTGCATTTAGGATTCAAACTTACGTAGTCAAATTGCCTATTAAAAGTTTCGTAAACGAGACAAGATGACTTCTAATGACCTTATAATGCGTGTGTCGTATAAATGTGTCGTGTGATGACATCTAAAGTTAAACGCCTGAATCACTGTCGGCCGTTCACGTAACTTATTTTAAAGAATGACATTAAATATTTAACAAGTCTCCGTGCCTCAATAGTGATGCAAGCTTCAAAATAAATGGTCAATATTTAAATTTAACTAACGAACATAGCTAAGTGTATTTGGTCGTGTTTTAGTCACATTTCTATTCATTGAGCGTATTTCGCTTAGTTGGTAATCGATGGTTTTAAAACCAAAGTTTATTATACCATGTATCCGTCACGTTAAAAGTGTCTGTGCTCTCCTTCCATTTGTGTACTAACACGTTCTTTACATATTTTTAGTAAAATAAAAGTTGAATGGTTTTCTTAAAAGTGTCTGTGCTCTCCTTCCATTTGTGTACTAACACGTTCTTTACATATTTTTAGTAAAATAAAAGTTGAATGGTTTTCTCTTTGTTTCTTCTAATATTACATACTACTTCTAATAGAAAATTCTCTTTGTTGCTCTTCTTTCTTGTGTCTTTTCTAATAAAATATTTTACTTAATACTAAGAGGCCCCATCATCGGCCAGAAGAATATCCGTATTAATCTGTTATACAGTACTACTCAAAATAGTTAAATGTAGCGTTATGAACGTCAATGAAAAGAAACTGTACAAATTCTATAATACGAACCAATTGCTACAATTATAAGCTGGTAATGCATCACTAGTTAAAGAGAAAATGAATTAAAATTTCCAAATAAAAAGTTTGTTGAACTCGCACTGCCAGAAATTTGTATGTGTAATATTGAATTGCGATATCAATATAATTGATTGGGGATCGTTTTTGCTATCATACCATTAAGTTTTTGTTGCGCAGTATGTTTTACATGTTTCTATTACATTCTTGGTTAGCCAATGGATGTAATTCATTTCAATGATTTTTCTTCTTTTGTAACAAGTTGTCACTCTCTAAAACCATACTACACTAGTGCATTTTGACTAATTTTTCATAAGTAACACAAGTGAGTAAGCGATCTTCTCTATCATAATCAGATTGTAATGTGAACCAAGGAAATCTTCGAGGTTATTACGCGTTTCACATAGTTATTTTTAAATTTAGCCTGATTCACGCAAAGTAATGCATTCCGTGTTAGTATACAGTATACAATTAAATATTTAAATAATTTGTTAAATTCTTATTACGTACAATTTTCAAAGGTTATAGATATCCTGGAATATTACACCTTGTATATTATACGTTCTGTAGTTTCAACTTTGATCCATAAAGTTTGATATTAATTTCAACGGAAACTGGTTTATCTGATTTAAGCCGTTAAACCAATAGTGCCCACATCGTGAACTCTGTCATCGTTCTTACTACCTCATTCCGCAAACCAATACACTTACATCTAAATTCAATTCTATCTCGATACATATTAAAGAGCTGTAACGAATTCAACGCAAAAAAAGGAGCAAGCACAAAAAATGAACTAAATGAGTTCCTCACATCGGAGGATTCTCAGAACGACGGCACCAATTAACCTTAGGACTGAGCACCGAACAGCGCGGCTTTGTTAGTTGCGAAAATTTGGCACGTTTCGGCCATTTCCGTCGATCTGATAGAGGCGCGGCCGAGCTAGGCCATGCCGAAATGCCTAGTGTGATATGACAGTCTATATATACGTTTATTTTTTTTACTAGTCCATACGAGCGTGATCGCCTGCGTTGTTTATTAACAACTACACCGATTGCCTCCAAGTGTTTTATAAACAAAACTTAGAAGAATTAATTGAAATCTATCAAGTAGTTTTTCCATGATGCGCGCGCAACAGCATATCTCTATCATTTTATTTCTCTATTTATATAAGTCTCCCATTTTTGAGGAAGTGGACGAACAACCAAGCGTCGGACCTGATTTTAAGTGATCTGCCCCTCCACACTAATATTATAAATGCGAAAGTAACTCTGTCTGTCTGTCTTCCTTTCACTCCAAAACTACTGAACCAATTTAAGTGAAATTTGGTTCACAGATAGTCTAGAGTCTAGAGCCTAAGAATGGATATGGGCTATTTTTTATTGCAAAAAGTGTCGTAAAGGGTTCTATTTAAGTGCTTCAACGCTAGCGAAGCTGCGGGCGAAAAGCTAGTAAACAATAAAGGTTTGCAGGAATACTTTTACTTTATACCTGTCTCTTGGAGGGGACTTCCCCGGTCGAGCTTACCCATTAATGCCACAGCAGTTGACACTGCATGGTTTGACCGCAGCAATAAAACCTGTCTAATAAACAGTACCTGTGCGTTAAAGGAACGTGAATGGGAAGAATATACTGTACTTGCGGTCATGGTAGATAACGTGAAGCAGATAAATTTAATGGATAAAAACCATTTTTTTTTTCAAAAAAATTTTAAACTTATTGAGTGAAATTTTATTGAATATTATTCTTCAGTCCGAGGTCGAAGTTCAGTGAGGTGCAGCGATAAGATCGGTTTTAAGCATTTGTCATGTGCAAAATTAACGTGATATTTAGTCGGAGTTTGACGAAAACCTTAGCAGTCGCTTTTAGGCCCTTCTCCACCTTATCTGACTTTACTTTCTATTAAAAAAATAAAATATTCTATTACAATCTTTGATAAACAAACGGAAAACCAATGAACAGACTAAGTTTGAGCATAAAAATTCAAGAGATCGCCTAGCGGCGGAGCTCTTTTTGCCTCGCACAATCTCAGACGGTATTATTTAAATTAAAAACAGGCTAAAAACTGGTCCCAGTGAGGCGGCGAGCTTTGATAACTCTGCGTAGTGTAGAGGGTTGAAATGCTCGGCCACCTCTCACATTCTCGCTCGGACGAGAGTTTAAGATTTTGATTTTTGCCGGTTTGGCTCGTTCTAACGCAACGGTGTGTGAGTCTAGAAACATGATCTGCTCAGATTATTTGCAATAAATATATAAAAAGCCAAGGCTTTAATCGGAATAAAATTTATTCCGATTTGATGTTAAACTTCACTTACGTGTTTTAATTTGCGGCATCGCTGCAACATGCCGGATATGAATTCAAAGTATAAATAACATTTGCAATTGCAAAAACTCGCTGAACGCGACATCAAGTATGAAAAATATCAATTTAACTCTCGAGACGTTGGACACTGGTGCCAAAAATGCGTCCCAGTTTGGTATATTTAAACATTTTAATCCGATTCAATGGTGACGAAAATCCTCAATTACCTGCATAATCAGTAGGTGACCTATAACCGCACTATAATTATAATAGGTAACCACGTTATACCAGGTACGCTGTTCGCAGCCAACATTTTAAGTTTAGGTGTGTTCGGTCCATTTAGAGAAGCCAACCAAGTATATAAGGTGTACTTAGTAACCTGATGAATTATATATTTGCGCAAGAAGAAAATTTCTATACTGAATCGTGATTCAACAATTTTGAGCAACCCATTGACTAACATGTTGCTAAAAATAGACGTATTTTACAGAACTATTTGTTTTCTAAACAATCTTTCATTCGATTTTATCAGGGTTCGACCTGCGAAAAGTTGGAGCGAAAATATTTTGTTACAAATTACTATGAATTGATAATATGTTTACACAAAACGCCATGCTATTTTTAATACTAAACTGCCTGGCGAAGTGTATAAAGTAAGTTTTTACAAAGCTGAACCTTCTTTGGTATTCATTAACGATTATTTCAACTAACACAGAAACAGTCTAAAAGGATGATATCATAAGTACACAGCAGCTTACTAAAAATAAAACTCAGATATTGCAGTATCGTTAAAGAAGCATAGCACATATAAAAGAGTAAGCTGTTGGTACATTGGCGCATTCGATCACTTGAAACCAATACGTCCAGGGCAAATAATGTTTGCTGTCGCTGAGTCTGAAAGTATATATTATTCATGCATAAGCATAGGTCATAAGGATGATCGATAAATATTAATTTTAAAGCATGAATTTGAATTTTATAAAAGCAAAACCTTTCTTTAAAAAAGATATTGATAAAGCGGCAAACATTCTCAGTAAAATCATTCATAGTTTTAAGCTATTAGAATAGTTGGGTACAAGAAAATTAACATGTTGATTATGATTTGGGTTCTAAATTTCGTGAGTTGACACATAAAAAATAGTTATTCATAAATATTACAACACCGTTTTAATTTATGCGTGTGAGTAAATGTCATTGCTGGCGTCATCCAATTTCCAAATCTGACACTCAATACTTAATATTAGCAATGTACTAATTATGGCAATACAGGTAATAAATAAAATGAGTAATTAAAAAAACCCTGGTAAAGTCTGTGCATGACGACGCACAGAACAAGAAAAAAGATAATCACCTGACATATTCGAATGCCACTATAGCAAAGGCACTAACATTTAATTTGTTTCAGAACTAGCAATGTCAGACAAAGTTAACAATGAGATGAATATCTCTCCTCATCTAGTCCATT